CATTATTGCTACGTCACCCGCGATATATATCACGCGGGGTATATATCCATATGCATATTGGCCACGGAAGGGCATAATCGCATAACATTAAATCGGTGCTCGTTCACAGTTACTTTCCCGCCTTCTTGCCATTTCTCTTCGGTCTCTCTCTCTTAGAACTCTGCGCGCACGCCCTCCGCCCGATCATTCGTTCTTACGTCTGCGCTTTATTTTCTTCGTACGGAGCGCAACTCCGCGAGCGCAAAACAATGAATTCGGTACGAGGTATAATTACGATGATTGCACGTGTTCGTTCCGTTAATGAATCGCTTACGCCGGGGGTGGGAGGAATTGTATCGGAAGATAGATCTCAGGGGTATCGTTGTGACGGTGATGTGAATGAAAAGTCGCGTGAATGATGCGTTTCACGATGAAATTACGGTGATCGCGTTTCTGAAAGTACGTGTATCATGGACGCTCGTGTCACTCTGTATGCGTAACAGTATCCTTACGAGGAACTAATCAACTGCCTCCCCAACTGTCAGCCGTGATAAGCCCGTTACGCTGTCAATGAATATAATATCCGGTCGTCTTATTAATCTCGGGAGAAAAAATCCCACGGGCCCAGAGTGTTTTGCATATATCAATGAATAATCGTAGTAGGAACTGGTTAGGAGACCACGCCCGATGACGACCAGTTCGCTAAAAAGATAAACGTTGCAAAACGCGTGCGGTTCAATTAACGATTAACCTCGGTTGCGGGAGGTGGCGCGAGACTTGTAAAACTCACTGGTATCGGAATTTCCTAGTTCACGGTAGATAAACAAAATTACAAAACCGATCGAAAAACACGTATTACCAAGAACACCAGCCAATGATATATTATTAACGGAAATATTTAAATAATACCGACCGACGTAGTTTAATAAATGACTGAATAAGTGTAAGAGATACATTACGAATCAATGTACACTGACGGGAGACTTCAATGCTCTCCGGCTGCACAAGAACGAACTCCATCTACTCGGTTCGCTTCTATAGAAATTTCACTTCGTGGAACAGACGCGGTAACCCACGTGATTCTCGAAATAGACACACGTTCGTCCCCGCGAAACACCGAGTTCTTCCATTAAGATGATTGTAAGCAAGCAATAACATTCTCTATCCATAAATCGAAAATCTTAGCCACGACATGATATACGACCGTGTGTCTAGCTCCGTAGGCCGCGCTGATAAACGATCAGATGTTCCGCGATTTTTCGCGATATTGTACTCCCGTTAATGGCGTCTCACTTGCCCAATGATTATGCGCCAACGTACGCACACCGCACGAGACCACCTGTCCAGCGAGTCTGTTTCCCTTCTTTCTCCAGTGCGTTCCGATCCTCTTCCTGTGTCCCGCTCCCATGGCGTATAAGTATCCCGTGGGGATATTCCCAGCGTGTAGTCCGCGATAACTATAGCACAAGGGCCCCGGTAGAAGAGCTTTAGGCGCCAGCCGAGAGTTTCCATAAAAAATGCAAACTCCGCCGCGGACACAGGCCGAGTTTAATGTCCCGCGCGACCTACCCCTCGAAAAAAACCGTCCAGCTATCGGACGCCCCGTTATATTCGCGAATAAGAAGACGGCACTCACCCGGGCCTTCAACCACGGAAATACAATAATTTGTATTCAAACAGGCGTTCTTTTCCGCATATTTTACCCGTGAATTTTAATACGACCGGGGCCGTCTCGAGACTATTCCGATCGGACTTTCCACCGTGCGAATGATGCTTCTGACGTGGAACTGTACGAGGACGAATGAATTCCTCCCGTGTTCCTGTTTGTACGGTCTTGGACTCGATCGTGAATAAGAGGGAATTCTGGAGGAAGCGTTGATTGGATCGGTACGCCGGAATTCTATAAACTGAGAGTTGTATGTTACGAGAGAGAAATCGGAGAACGAATCAACTAATGGGTTGGAGGAGGAATACATGTACTGATCAGTATAGGGGAAATGGCAAACTGATTTCTTGACGTAGATCAGATTATTTAGAAGTAGAGGCAAGATAACACGAGACATGTAAATTCCAAATTACGTTGAATTATTATAAAAGGGTGAAAAGTTAGAGGAGAAAACTGAATTCCTTACAAAGTCGAACCCAGATCACAAGTGTGCCGGGAGTAACAAGAGTATCGTGCGTGTCTGAAAATGTACAGCAATTACGGTGCTGCTTGCTTTGCCGAAGCACGCGAGCCACGTACGTGATCGTGCAAACACGGTAAAGTGGCTTAATAACTGCGTAAAGGTAGAAATTCTAACAACAAACATGTTCCACACACATCTCTCTTCCATCAGTTTACAAACAATTATCACTCAGCCTCATAGGCACGATTAACATTCTGTTGCGTAACTCGTGCCTCCGGCAGGCAGGAAAGAATCGTTAATTTCGAGAGAGAGAGAGAGAGAGAGAGAGAGAGAGAGAGAGAGAGAGAAAGATAGAGAAAGACTGGACTGTTATTGAAAACACAGGATTGGAGGATGAGTTAAGAGACGCAAAAGAACGAAAGGTAAAAAGAATGCAGACGTATCAATGGGAATTCGATTCTGTAGAGCACAGGCACACAGAGAAAGAAAGAAGGGGGTTTACGGGGGGTGGTAACGGTCCATTATTTGTTTTAGATATTAATGTTCCAACGTGGACGATCAATAATTTACCTCGGACGTAATCGCACGGTGTGCATCCTCTATCTCTAGCGCAGAACCCGCTGAAAGAGAGGAACAACGAGGGATAGAGAAGGACGGAGGAGGCCGAGAGAAAGGAGACCCGTGTAAACAATAAATCACGATAAATACGTTTGCCCGGACCATTATAAAAGCCGTACGGCGGGGGGAGGAATCGACGCGATCGGCGAAGGTGGAAGGCCCAGTCGAGGGGGGCAACATGGAGTTCACTGATATGCAGTCCCTGCCCCCGGGGCCACTCCCGATGCAGCCTTCTCTCCACGGCCGCGCATTACGATCGCTTAAGTCTCGGCTCGACTATCGAGTGATCCATCGCCTACGAATTCGACGAAGCCTCCCGCCTACCCTCGGGACATCCTCGACTAATGAGTGTGTCTCGATCGTGAACGACCGGATCCCTCCGTCTCTTTCTGTCCGTTCCTTCTTCGCCTGCTAACATTCTCTCCTATCCATGCTCCCTATAGTCCCGTTCCCCTCTTTTCTCTCTTTATCGCTGCTCCATCTTTCTCGTAGCGCATCCTCGCCCCGTTTCTTTTTCCCCCCTACACACGATTCCAGGTGTGTTCACCCGTTTCTGTTTAAAAGGGATTCCAATTAAGAGGCCGAATGAGCTCGTGCTCCTATTCACGAGCAGCCCGAGATGAATCGGAGACGACAGGTGGACACGACAAAATCCTCCGAGAAGCGAAGAATTCTTGACGACCGTACGGCCGAGTCTGAACGGGTTTCGGGGGCACGTTGCTCCGTTTGGAAAGGCGAATAGTACCTCCTCGGAGTGATGATGTCAATTTGATCGGATCGAAAACGCATAGTTCAATAATTTCTCAAATGACCGTTAACAAAACGATTCAGACATTGTCGCACACCGTAAATGAATCGATGCCGATTCATTCTAGAGAAGACGAGTCAAAAAACAAAATGTAAGCGTTTAATTCAGTATTTATTTTCCGACGCTAGTTGACACGGAATTCGTGAGTGGAGACGTTTACCCGATTCATCTGTTCCCATCGAATTGTCTAGTATCGCATAAACAGGATGCCGTGCTAGACGTGCAATAGTTATTGGATGGGAAAAGCGTGGTAGTTCGAGTGCATTCCTGAGGCGCTGTCTGTTCACCTATGCCACCGATGTGTGGTTAGTACGTGGCGAAGGCGATGGAAGACGAAGGTAAAGGAGAGACAAAGAAGTGGGTAGGTAGATACCGGGCCCCGCGGGGGGCTCATAATTGCCGACCCTGAAGATCGGCCGACCCCATGGGGCCCTTCCCTGTTTGTTTTATTCCCTAGTTATACAAACGCGAGATCTACGACCGATATATGATAATCGGGCCTCTGGTCCTTCCAAGCGTTCGCTCTCTCTTCCCGTACCTTATCTCTACCTCTCTCCTTTTTCCCTTATGATGACCACCTTCGCGGAACGTGACCACATTACGAGACGCTGATAGACAAGAACATGTCCGAACCAATTTCGACGAAAGTCGACTATGGGGTCAGTGTCGTGAAAGCTTTCGTCGCGAGTCTCGTCATTTATGACTCGCATTTATTCAGATTCCTTGGTGAAATAGCTTGATTAATATTCTTTGTCATGAGAAATTAGCAACTGAGTGGAAAAATTTTATTCCAAACGAACGTCTAATAGAAACGAATATATATAGCTCTCTGTGTGTCGCTATTTAATCGAACAGTTACTTGAATACCTGCTAACGGTACTAAAATTCGTCGTCTTGAATTAAAACAATTCTTTGATTATCGAGTTCTTGTGTTAAAACATTTAATTGAACGCCTTCAAGACTTCTTTCGCAAACGAAAAAAGATGTTGTAAAAAAGCGGCTTTCACCACTGGTAAAGCGTTTGCGCGTGGTCCTGTGTATTTCAGTGCGTGTCACCTTATCTACAAGACAACCATATTTCAAGGAGATAGCTTCGCAAACGCAACAAGTTGCTCCAAATGCATGTAATAGACGGTATCTTAACGCGGAGGAACTGACACGGTGATTAATTATTAAGATTGCGTTTGACAGGTGATAAATGCGAGCCGGGAAATGCAGCTGGATATACGTAAAAGATGTTCGAACTCTGGATTGTCTTTCACAATTCAGGAAAACGGTTCAGGTACACGTGAAACCTGCGACTGAGTAAAGTTCCGAACGATTCAAGATTAATTATACGTTTAAAGACTCACGAAAGTTCCGACTGAACGATTAAATACAGGAGACATTTTATGTTTCACGAACTGTGGAACACTTCCCCGTGAACGTTACTCGTTAAAATTTCTAATTAAACATCGTCCACTCACCTCAGTGTCGATCTTCTTGAACTCCGGGTCGTCCTCGTCTACCTCGAAGTAAAGTTCCGTGGAGGTGACGGAGATAATACCGGGAGCCATGATACCTGGCGCGATCAATTTTCCTTTTGTGCTGATGTTCACCGGGCCTGACAAGAACACGACCTCGTTGTAGCTTAAGTATGTTAGAGTTTAAACTGTACGACATGCAAAGTCCCGCGGTCACGCTTCGTACGGGAACGAGGAACCGAACGAAACGAAACGAAACGGAAAACGATGGATCTAACCTGTCAGGTCGTTGTCGAGATCCCTGTCGTCCGACAACAGTTCGCTGTCGTCCATTAGATCCGCCGACTGCAATTGTTGCTGATGTGCACGCGAGGCTGCGAGATGCGCGTGAAACTCTTCACGCGCCTGAAGGATCGCATCCTCGGGTGCACCGTGCTCGAGGGCCGCCTTCAGTGTAGCTTCGGGATGGCTCGAGCCTAGTGGATTGTGCACGAAACGCTTGCGTCTACGTGCATCATCCTCCCAAGCATCTAGCTTCCAGTATTCGGCCAATCTGCGGAGTTTCAGCAATACTTGTAATATAATTCGCATTTCGGTGAGATTCATGTGGAAAAGATAGTAACTTCTACTCTTGTGGACAGTTACGTTTAATGCAGATCGATGGATAAGTAGCAAACGTATCTGTATAAGATACATTGATTTATAATCCTCCTGGTACTGTAACGATTATCACCAATTTATTCTAATTACACCCGTAAAGACTTACTTTGCAGCCATTGGATCCATGTATCCCCAAGCGCCATGTTTGTTCGACAGGATATTTCGGACCTTCTCCAATAATCGACTTGCGATCACATTGTCGCGTCTGCGAGCAGCTGTGATCAGGTGGTCGCACATACGTTCCTCCTCCCGTCGGTCGAGCAACGTTTGCGCGCACTGGGACTGAAGATAAAAATTTTACGACAATCATCGTTAAGCAGGACCCCGAGAGCAGACTCAATATATATATATATATATATATTGTACATATACATATACATGTATATCGAGTCCGAGAGACCACGGGGATAATATCCGGGCGGAAACTTAATTGGCCAAGGACGAGTATCTACCTCGAAGTCAGCGTGCTTCAGCACGTCGTCCGCTCTCATCCGATTCAGGATAAATTCCGCCTCGTTCGCCACTCTGACTATATGATCCTTCATCGCGTGAGACAGCAACCTGCGCGCGTAACATAAACGTATAAACTTTTACGATAGGAACGGAGAAAGGGGAGGAAGGAAGAATGTTCAGCGTGCCCGGGTTTACGGCACACGCCCTATAACTCTGTCTTTTCGTAACGATGATCATAATGAGCGTTCGTACCTTCCCTCGTTAATGAGCTCGATGAACGCGAGGCCCGCGTGTTTCTGCAACGAGTTCTGCCATTCTTGGGAACAAAGTAGCATCACCAGCTCCACGACCGAATTGCTGTTCTTGAAGGTGGTCAGACCTAGGCAATCACGAGAGTCGAAAGGGAATCGTTAAGTCTCTTGGCGTGAACGTGGACGAAGAAAAAGAAATAAACGGATCGTCGCTTAGGATCACAGTTGTGAAATATACGGGGACACCGAGACGAATAAGAAGGGAATATCTCCGGGAAGAGACATGGACGGTCGGTGTGATTTATAAACAACGCTCAATGTATCGCCTTTCGAGCCTCGTTGAAAATAAAGCGCATCTATACGTGGCACGACTGTCATCCACAGCGACGTTCCACGAATATAAAATGTCCGCGAAGTGGCGCGCGGACCGCGAACAGCGCCACGGGAATACAAATGTCAACCGATTATCCGGAATACGCCTTCCATCTTCCTAAGCGAAACTATAAAGTGACTAATTTGAATACCTTTCGCTGCCATGGAACCGAGAGCAGACGATAGAAAGAGACGAACGACGAAAGTGACGAAAATCACAGAGAGATGTTCTCTGCATCCACGAATGGAATTTCTGGAATGTTATTTATCGACCGTACATATCTAAATAGAATCCTCCCTCCACCCCCCTCCATCGACTGTCCCATACGTTTCAGTTTTATAGTTTTTATTTCTTCATCTATTTTCTTGTACGTAGATTTAATGTTCGTCTTCATCGTGAAATCTAACAAGCCACGTATCACCGAGATTACGCATAAATCAATCAAACGGAAACGATTACATTGGGCAATTCTGATTCTTTAACCGACCTGTTTCACGGGTTATTAGAAAGCCTGTTCACAGTGAGGATACGAATTGATCGATAGATCGACAAGACGTATGTACCTTTTCCTTCCATCAATAACTCCTGTCCGTGGGAGCCGACTAGGGTTTTCGAGAGGAACGGAGCAAAATCCACCATGATCTCACGTAGAAGAGGGCAAACGGAGCCTAGCGCCATTTCGAGCTTTTGCGTGAGGGACGCCTCGCGCGAAGGCGTTGGCACAGGTAGATGATCGACCAGTCCCTTGATCGGCAATTCGTCCGGTCGTGGAGACGCGGAAGTCACCACTAATCGGTCCGGCACACGGACTACCGAGATCTCCGCCGATGGTTTCTCGCCACGTTCCGCGTTCCCGAGCATCTCTTGCTCCAAAACGTTACCTTCACCGTCTTGCATGTCGCCTGTGTACCAAGCGATTATAGACACTTAAATAAAATCTTTAACGAACCAGTAATACACAGTACCAGACAAATGAATTCGAACAAAGATGTTTATCTTTTTGTTTGTTCACACAATAGTTCTGCACTGCGGAGTCTTCATTATTTAGTTCGATCCTAGCTTTCATAAAAGTTACACGGAAATATCTACGTATTACAAAATATATATAAAATACGTTTTATCTATATTTAGCTAGACGAAAGTATTCGGACGTTTCATTTACATACATAAATTGTAATCTGATACGTAAGTTTCATGTGAATATCATATTAATATCTTTATTTTATGCATTAAAAATCGTAACCAGCTTAGATGCAGTGTTAATATCCATAGTTTCTCGATGTATGGACTTCCCGAGGTCACTTGGAAAATATAAAAAAAGTGTGGTCGACCTGAGAATGCAACAGTTCAACCTTCAGAAAGACAGGCGTCTGTTTATTTACACTAACTATTCCGTTCTAATGAAAATATTGCAGGAAAGGAAGTTTGTCCGAAAACATTTATCCAGTAGTGTAAATCCAAAGGTTGCACTGTATGTGGAAGTCTCACCGCGGGAATGGGCAATGTTGTGAATATTCCGCGGGTCTTCCCTCTGATTGGTGATCGGGATCGTGTCACCATCTTCGTTCAGGTTCACGTCTGTCCAAGCCTCTTCGGAAGAGTTGTGCTTGTTCTCGTTGTCGGTGGTCACGTCGGACGGACTTGCGTCCGCGGTGATATTGCTACGATGCACTGTCTCCTCGCTGGAGTCGTTGCTCTGGGAGAAAGTCGAATGAAACGAGGAAAAATTAAAGTGTCCGTTCATTAATGAACAGATTCTGTGAATGTGCAGAAACACCAAATCTGGAATTGATTGTTCATTCGGGGAAATTGAGAAGTGCAAATGGGTTTCAATTCGCGACGATTGTAATTCTTTTTTCTTCGTGAATATCCGGATAGACGATGGATAGATTGAAAGATTTATTTGATGAAAAATATTGAGGTGTTCGGTTCCGTTAATACAAAATACTCTGGTATAGACCTACGGCTACTTGGCTACGGTACTGGATACTTCTAACGAAAGCCTAGCTTTCGTTTCAACATTCTAGTCATAAAGGTGTCTATAACAGTCTCAGGAACGTCTTTGAGAAATCAGACGATTATACATATACTCTGGCGATTAATGTCTCGGGTGCTATTCACTCACTTTACGTCATGCAATTAATACACCACTAATACGCAATCACCTAATACGTGTTAACAAGATATAAAAGCTTGCCAGATATCCCAAGCTCCGACGTTGAAGTAATATCGTAATGGTTCTACATAGATTATGTTCATCAACCGTACGTAATAAAAGAAAAAAGAAAGTAATAGACGACCACCGAGAGGCTACACGAATCTGAATTCTTTCATTATACCGTTTATAACTATCTTCATTGCGTACCCGTCGAATGGGTATTCGATTCTTGTTGCGTTTCTTCTTGCACTCGGCTCGAAAACGTGTTTGAACGATCGATAAAGTATTTAGAACGCTCCCAAAACGTGGACAGTTTGGTGGTAATATTAACAAGTGAAAAGAGAGATAAGTTCAGTGAGGGGAAACATTGTTATTTAAGATTTCGTCCGGGTTCGAACTCAAGTCAAAGTTTACCTGGATATTTCGTGGCAGTGGTTCAGGTCTTGTCGAAGAGCCAAGCGTTGGTTCTGACGAGGTGTAATCCTCGAGAATTGTCCGTGGCCGAGGTACACCACTATGACCTCCCTTCAGAACCAGTAGTTAGTACGCATAGCAATGCAAGCAGAGGAAGTTAACGATGAGAAAAAATTGAGAAAAAGTAAAAGGTCTGAATTCATGCTCGAAAGTATCAGAGATCGAAAAGTTACAGACAGGTAACGGGTCTCTCGGGTAGGGGGAGATTAAAGTATGTACAAAACTGGATCGAGCTTATTTCAGATGATGGACGTGTTCGTTGAAACTTTCGATTAAACTGTACGTGCGAGAAGAAAACGATTGCTACGTAATTATATAATATCGTTATTCTGGGCTACGCAAGAGCACTAAGTATACACTACATGCTGGATGTAGCAGAGACTGTAATTTACTGGTACTTTACTTAAGAAACATTACTCGAGGATTGTCTAATGTATTCACTATGGTATGTCCTACTCCTAAAAGAAACTTTTAATGGAGATCAGACTTAGTGATTTGGTAATTCGAAATCTTTTTCGTTTTTATTTGTCATTTCTTGGTTTTGATTCAAGACTACCATTTCTTATAACGTTAATAGTGGGGACACATGCAATCTGTTCATTATTTATATCGAAAGTTTATCGTAGACTTTTAGGTCTGAAGGACTACAGTATAAATATCAGAAAGTATCAGGTCAATGAACGAATGGAAAACATTCCGTGTTCGGAGAATGTGTTTAATTTTATTATAACCGTAGATTGTGCGTGATATAAAAGTGCGTTAATTATAAAAAATATAATATAATAAAAATAATATAAAGTAGAAAATAATTGGATATGTACAGCAAAGTACGCAGGATGAGATGTATCAATCGAGTAACTTTAATGAGTCATTTATTTTCACAAGTAAAAACAAATATTTGAATAAGTAAATAACCTTCGAAATTTTTTCCACATCAAGAAGTAAATTATTCAGGTAGTCTATTTTAAACGTCTCACCCTGTATATAAAGATCAAGACAGCGAAACAATCATTAAATTCTTCAATCGTAGTTCAGAGCACGCGTATTATATTTACTATGTACAATTATAACCTGAAAGATTATATATTGAATGAAACACGATTGCATTCCTTTTCAATAGGGAAAGCATGCAGTCTCAAGTGAAATTATCAATAAGAAATTTTTATACGTGGGCAATAAACTATAAATCCTTATGTTTTTGTTACTCCAATATACGAATAGTACCGAGCAAAGATTTAGAAGACATTTTACCTGAGTAATATCGGATCAATTAATCCCGACGTGCACGTCTTTTGTATAGGTAGAACGTTTTTTTTGTTGCACGTTTGAACGAAGTTGCAGTCAAAAGTTGCATCTTATCGAACTGATACGAGAATGAATAGGTGAACTTGGTCTACTTACCTTGGTCGACGGAGGCCCAGACGACGTAACGTCGTGATCTGCCAAGATCGAGGAATTGTTCTCATCAACAATTATAACTTCATATTCACCGTCATCTTGGGAACCGGCTTGGCTCATGATACCCCCGCTTCCTGAGAACATATGTTGACAGTGCGATAGTATTTGTACAATGTTATGGTGAAGTAATCTCTTGCAAAGCACATGACATGAACGCTAATGCGATCGACGATTATGAAAGGTTTTACCGGAGGTATTTATTATTTCACAGTTTGCAGTCTCTTGAAATAACAGTGTTTCTATATTTTGCAGGATGAGACGTCGATTGCATTGTACAGGAATGGAGGTCCATTATAATGCAGGAATTGCAAACGGAAAGGAAAAAACGAAGCATAATAGGTATGTAATTAAAGCATTCAGAACTGTTCAAGATTTTGAAGATTAAGGAAACGGTTTTAGTGCATTTATTCAAACAAAAACTTTCACTTGATGTCTCCGTCTCACAATCAGTGTCAAACGATAATAGTTTCCGTTTGCTTCAAACAACTTTATTAACTAAAACAGTGTTTGAATATTATAGCGAACACAAAAAAATAGTAGATTAGTGGTAGTAATTTAGCACTGTATAAAGTTTACCATTAAATCTTCAAACAGCATGAGAATCAATGCTATAATATATTGTATACAAGGAAATAGTCCTGCGTTCAGTGTTTAAAATTTGTGTCATATCACATAGCTGGGTTTCAACGAACATGCAGGCACGTTGATTTACTCGCAATGTATGTAAGTAGTGCACATTTTTCATACGCAGTTTCCGTGCAAACGGTTTATGCGTTTCAAGCGTTCAGATAACAGTTAATTGGTATATATTAACGAAGGTACTGCATAAACATAAGTTTTGTAAATAGAAGTTTTACGAGCCAAACGTTTGTTCGACATGATCCACTTCTCAAAAGAAAAATTTAGCGATTGATCACTTATTTCAGGGTGACAGGGAATCGATTCGTCCAACAGAGGAACTCAAAATTCTATGTATAAATAAAACAGCAACAAAAACCTAAAGAAACATATTCAATTCAAACGTTTTCATTCCTGCAAAACGGAACATTGTTGAAAGACAAAATCATAATGACAATTATGCGTGTTTGTTTGTATGCGTGCACGTGCATGTGTGTAGGGTGTATGTAGACCAAACTTTGAAAGCCCTTTCAGACGAGACACTTGAGAAAAGTGTAGAACATACATAGACGCAAGTGTTTCACAAGGATAAGCTACTTAATTGATTACGTTCTGATTACGGCGTCAGGTAATCGTGCAGTATTGTGCAGCGAACCACAAACATTTTTCATTCCGTATAATATACTTGAAGTCAGTATGTCGTCTGAGAAAAGAGCGAAGCCTCAACTTTACCAGTGAACAGATAGACATGCGGACAGGGACATATCGGCATGTCAAGACCACAGAACGTAAAGTAGAAAGAAATAACGGAGGAAGACAAAACGGAACGCAAAAGTGTCGAGAATTTTATTCGTTGGCGGGTAAACGAACGGCAAGTGAAAAAAAAAATACATAAATTCGAGCAGGCCAAAGAAAGAACTCGAGCATTCCGTGGAACAACGTTCGGGCAATCGAGTTACCTTGCAGACCGACACCGGAGTTTCTGTGACAGAGATTTCGGGGCTGATCGGTATGCTTTTGAAGCGTATGATGGTGATTGTTGTTATTGTGATGATGGTAATGATGATGTCGATGATAGTTATGGTTATTCGGATGATGGTTATAATGATTACTGTGGTGATTCGGGAGATAATAGTTGGAGGGGGGCTGGCGGTTAGAGTGCCTGGCAGCCGGTAGCGGGTGCTGGTGGTGGTGCTGGTTGATGTGGTGGTTGGCATTGACATTGGCATTCGCATTGGCGTTAGGGTGAGATCCCGGGAGGAACTGTGGGTACACGTGGTGAGACCACTGTGGAAACAGGGGCCGCCCTCCTCCACCACCATTCCCATCTGCTGAGGAACCACATTTACCACGTTACCACCGATTCTCAGATCGTGAGCCCTCGTTTCTGTCGTACGATTTCTCTTATTTTTATGTGTCGTGTGTGGTCGAGAACAGAAATTTAGGCGTCTCGATATCCGGTACTCCGCTATCAACTTTAGCACGTGGCTGATCATCTGGGTCTACGAGACGGTAACAATGCAAATTTCTTAAAAAGTAATTATAAGATAGCTATATTGAAAACGACGCCTGAGAATTGGAAGGTAAAGATGCTATGGTTATGCATGGAACGCCTAAATTTTTGTTTCTGGCTATTGTTTACCTTTAACTACTGGGGTTCACTCTGTTCGTTATGCAAAGTTAGTCTTCCTAATTTGTTATGAACTGTACGCACGGTTTAACTTGAACAATTTTACAAGTTTTACCAGTATTCAACTTTTTGTAACATGGTATTCGCACTTTATCATTGTCGTTTGTGATTTAAAATTCATTAGTGTGAAAGTGGCAGCACTGGTGCTGCCGTATACTTCATGAGGGTACCACATTCGAATTGTAATTTTTCGGGTATAAGTTGTGAATTTCAAATTGTATTCTACGCACATACGTTTTGTGTAAATTTTTCTTTCACTTCAATTAACTTCTTGGTGTAAAACAACACGTGTGTTTCCACTAAATATAATAGAAATGAAGAACGCTTACTACGAACATCTTGTTTGCATAATAGGAAAATTATCATTCCAACACATCATTGATGATCGTTATTCGAAATGGTTGAATTGGTTAGGCGTCTAAAGGTAAGAATTGAGATTTATATTATTTTGAAACTGTGCATGTAAATCGGAATTAATAAGTCAGGTAATGGTAATTAGAGTGAAACTCAGTATACATATATGTATTTATGAAGTTTATGAATGATTTTGTACTTTGCACAACTAAGTTACTCTATTATTTCAAAGAAACAAAAAGTACTAAATTCAGGAGCATCGCATAGATCAAAGATTATACACATTGTTAAAGTACAACATTTAAAAGATACATATCATTGATCATTCAATTCTTCTTGAAGAAACACGTAGTGTAATCACTGTAGATTATTTGATGTTCTGTTTTGTTGTTTATATCTTATCTTGAAATTTCTAAAGGTGAAAAATTTTGTATTTTATAATGTAAAATAACAGTGGCATAATAAGAATATATTTCAACGTAAAAGAAAGTGCTAATGCATTCGACAAACATCAAAACTCTCACTGTCAGATACATATAAAACAGTTCATACAGTGCAATTGAACATGCGCTCTATTTTGTGTGTTTGTGCTGTTGAATTTGCAGCTACACAGTTAAAGTGCACAGTGTTCCATGTTAGACTATATATATTTGCATATATATTTGTGTTATGTATAATATTTTATTTTTAATTGATTAGATTAGCTTGAGATTAAATTGTTCTTACATGTATCTGCTTGTGTTTTATATTTGCCATATTCAAAAGATTTCTGAACATTGTAATTGTTTAATATGTTTTTGGAACGATTAAAAGATTAGAAACATGCCCATATAGCTGCAGTCATGCTACCTATTGTCTCACATTTAAATCTAAAGAGAAATAAATCTGTGAGCCTAATTAAATTCCAATATAAGAAATAGTAGATACAACAAGATATATCTGACATGTAAGAGTTTTGAAGTAATAATTCGATATTATTAGTGTTAGTCTTCCTTCACTAAACAGTAACATTTTTGTGTATAATATGTTAAAGGGTTAACACATACATATGTTTGTAACTCAACATGCATATCTGAATATCAACATCAAGTTAATTAATCCTTGCATGTCTGATTAATACATCTTTTGGAAAGCTCCTGCAGTTGATAACTCCCTATAATTTACAATTATTGTGGTAACAAGTACTATGTATGTTATTGATAAATGGTCCCGATTATTTACCTCAAAATACTGTTAACATAATGTTAGTGTTAAGAAATTGTTATTTGTGTTATCAAACTTGCTTGAGAAATGTTTAACAAGTTTCATTGAAGAATTTTAATCTTATGCACTTCCTTGTTGCAACAAATTATTTGGTATAAGAGTAAATTACATCTTACCTGAAGGACTGCCTGGTCTCAGACCAGCACCATTAGTCTGTATAGTTTGAACTGGGCTTGGTGGACGCTGAGATATTGGTGGTTCCAATATATCACGATATTTTGATACCATTAGTACAGAGATGAAGTAAACTATAGCCAGGGACAGAAACTGGGCCTGCTTGGTTTCTTCCTGAAATGATAAATACGATATCCCTCTCATTAGCTATAATCTCTTCATTGCCATGTACTCCACATTAAATAAACAGATATACTTACAACATCTCTGTATATCACAGCTCTTAAACGATTAACATCCATGTCTTGCAGTAATTTCTCAGGGTCTTTAACAGGACTTAATTGATGGGCCAGATTATCCACTATGTTCTATAGGACATAGAAACGCTATTTTACTCTAATTCCAAAAGGCTAACAATTAATGATTAAAGAGACTACTATTTTTGTATACAATATGGCTTTAGACAAGTATGCATTGTGTGCAACTTGTCAAATAATCGACAGTAATACACATTCTGTCTATGTAAATTAAGTTTGATCAGATGAAACATACCTTGGGTGATGTTTGAGCTCCACGTATAAGAGACTGTATGTGCTGTGATTTATTACTAGAACCAATCTGCCGACCTAACATGCTGTACGATCTGCCACGTTCTTTACACTCTAAGCAGTTTCTAACAGCACATGTACAGACCTATAGAAGCATTTCATCAGATGAATATAACAAAAAAGTAGAGTGTATACAGTCATGTTGAAGTTCTATATCATACATATACAGAAGCTGATAGAATTACAACTATTCAACACACTGCTTGTTTAAGGGCTATTTCTATTTATAAGACTTTGCTTGTAGACTAAAAGAGTGTCAAGGTGGTTGGGAACATTTCGATACTCTAATTTAAAAATTTCAGTATCTATATATTAGGTCTTGACAAATTCTGTCATTAGATCCTTACGTTAACTTTTGATTCTCTTTGATATGTAAAGTTTTATGTTTCATTAAACTACAAAATACACAGAAATGTAGGTGTACAAAGAATTAACCCAAAGCATGACCCTTCTATTACATTGCTGATCTAGGTAAACTTTGTCTTTCAAAACTTGAAACAAATCAAAATTGTCTACATAATATAACTGGTATGAAGTACCAATTGTAAAAAAAGTACATAGCACTATTGGAAACAGGATAAAAAAATTACATCTATAATGAGAACAATGAAATATCACTACTATAAAGGAGTCTAAATTACGAAAATACGAAAGACGGGATCAACCTGAAATTGGTGCTTGTATCATCTGTAACAGCTTCATTGATTGCAAAAAGTGCATCAACACGATGAATCTAATTAGTGTGCATCGCAAACATTTTATATAATAATCTTCAACAATGTTCTGTTTCGTCTTTAAATGCGATGTGACTGCGGAACACGCGGAACACGAATCTTGTGAACTAATTCTCAAGATAATGTCAGAGGGGAAATCTTTATAGTGTGGTAGGAGTAATGTATCTGTTCGAGAAATTAAAGTACTACGTGGACGATAATACAAACCAGTCGTAAACACTGCCTTAGAATACCGCCACTAGACATATTCTTCTCAGCCTCCAGTTCACCAAAATTTAAAGAGCTGGCGAAGATAAGTACATCAGCCATGTTGACTAGTCTTTGCAGAAAAGAAACTGCTACCTCAATTGGCATCCCCTGAGTCGGTTCAATTACATCCAATTCGCTCTATGAATATGCAAGCACGAATTAAAAGAAGAACTTCCGTAAAAGAAAAAACTTTCACCCGGATACCGCTTTTCTATGTAAGATATAAGGATAATTGGGGAGCATATTATACATACATTCGGCGAGGTCGCTGACGCTAGAAGGGGTAATAATCCTCCGCAGGCGATTATTAGATTGTCGGCCAGTTGCGAAATGAGGTGAACAGTATTAACAACAAAAATTGCATTCTCGCTGCTGTTCACAAAATCCAGCACTGACTTCGTGGAGTGGCTGAAGCACAAGTATTAAAAAAGTGTCATCACTTACCATATATTATTATCTATTTATTATTCGTACCTTCGCCAGACTTGAATGTCTGTCTCTAACGAAAAGAGGACATCCGAGAGTAATCTCTGATGTATGTAGGACCATTTGAACTCTGGTATTCTGAAAGGAGGTCGTGTCGGTCCTGGACTAAACATTGGTCTCGTTGAAGGATTACCTTGTTTGGCTCTTTTTGATTCTACAATAAAAAAAACAATGATTGTAAACACTCATAGAAAGGATTAAGAAACTGAAAGATTCACAACTTGCGTATAATGCTTCAAAGGATCTTGATCCCGAGAGTTACAGTCCGAAACCGATAAGATCAACAGTTCAGACTTCTTACCAAAATGATTGGGGTCCACTTGCGTGGATGTTGAGGCACTCCTTGGTCTTTTCTGGGGCGACGATGTTTTCCGCAGGGGTACAGGTAAAGAAGGAGGTTCGTTATTGTTTGCGTTCTCGTCAGCGGCCGTCTCGGAGGGTACAGCCGGCAGGCTGGATCTGCGATGGGTATCTACGTGATCGAGGGTTACGTCGTTCACTAACGAATTGTCCCTCGTAACCACAGCAGGGCTAACGATTTGAGGCACACCATCGGGCATATTTTTATTTGCATCACAGACCGTAGATATTGTTGGAATTTGCTGCTTAGGATTTGGCACTTGCGTCACATTATCTACAGAACTTTGTATATCGCTATTACTACAAACACTATCTGTTACTTCTACCTCGTCAGTTCTCACTGGAATGTCTGACTTATTATCACTTACGTTAGTAGAAATAGTGGACGGCTCACTTGAATGTTTGTCAGTTACCTTCTCGTCGTCGTTATCATTAATAACATCACTTTTATCCTCTGTCACAGAGTCCGTGGTGCATTTCTCACTAATTAACTCGCTAGTCACTACTGATTCCACTTTCGCATCTTCTACGTCTACCTTCTCCTCGCTGGTCTCGGTACTTTCTATTACGCTAGTTGAGCAATTGGGATTCTTTGAGTTCTCCTCGGTATCGTTCTCGCCGTTCTCTTCGTTCTCACCGTTCTCACCGTTCTCACCGTTCTTATCGTTTTCGCCTTTCTCGCCTTTCTCGACTTTCTCGTCGTTTTCGCCCTTCTTGTCCTTCTCGTCGTTCTCAGCGTTCTCGCCGTTCTCTTCATTCTCGCCGTTCTCCGCGCCAGCAGCCGTCTTCTTCTTCGGACTCTCAATGTCGTCGTTGACGCTGACATTGTCTTCGGTCTTCTCTGCATCCGAAACCTTGCTCTTCATGTCGCCTAGATTCTCTTGATTCTCCGTTGGCGTTAAGTACGCTTCTGAGGTATCACTGTCGATTATCTCACGGTCGTTCTCCAATTGTAGTTTCTCGATGTCCTTGATAATCAATGGTTCCGGTGTCAGGCTACCGGAACCAGTGTTATCTGTAACAACTTGTTCCACCGTAGCAACGATTTCCGTCGGAGTTTCATCCGTTGTCTCGGTTTTCTCGGATGCTTCCGCTGTACTGGAACCAACATCGTCGTTATTTGTGTCTTCTACTGCGTTAGATTTTTCTTTCGTTTCTTCGGTTTCCGTAGAAGCTACAGCCTCTTCTCGCGATTCAGCTTGTGGAGTGGAGTCAGACGCAGTCGCGTCATCTTTAGTCGGTACTTCTTCTTCATTCTGTTCATCCTCCTTTTTGCTTTCCTCTGGTTGTTCAGCTGGAGAGGGTTCAGGAACGGGCTCTTGGGATTTCTGCTCCACTGGGTCTTCGTCTTTCTTCGGAGCCTCTTGAACCACCATCGAATCTGGACTAGAAGTTTCAATTTTCTGCACTTCGCAGTAGATATCGCTGGAGCTCTCGATCGATATCACTTCACTAGTCTCTTGTGTCGTTGGTATGGATACTGCCTCGCTGTTGGCCTCCTCGAGAATAGTTGGTGTGTCTGTATGTATTTCTCGAGCTGTCGTCGGCGTCTCGGGTTTGTCGCTTAATCTGGAATCCAGGGAAATTACTTCGCTCGATTGAGGGGTGTCTGGGGCCTCGCTGTGCGACTTTACGATCGCTGGACTGCCGTCGCTTTCAGTGTTATCTATGGAGTTCAGGTCGCAGCTGCAGGATTCTTCCAATCGGTCATTTCCTTCGGATGCGTCAAATTCCTGAAGAATATCAGATTGAATTGAACAAAGTAATCGAAAAATTCGATATGTATTATTCCATTTTTAATAAATGAGTCAATTACTTGGGAGAAGATAGACCAACCTTATAGTTCCTCTCAACGTGTTGGGCATCATGGTTTTGTTGATTGCCCCATGGCAACGGTTTGTTGTACCCATTATTTCCCGAATGCTGTTGATCCCAGCCCGAGATTGTGCTGATTGGCCTCTGCTGTCTTAACTCTGGGTCCGTAATGTTATCTGATCTCTGTCTTTCGTAATGTTCGTACATTTGGGCGAACTGAAGCTTGAATTCCTCGTAGGATACCTAACGATCCAAGATGATATGTGAATGCACGCGGTATGTACGATGAGATGTCGGTTTACGGTGATTTACCTTGGAATGTACAATGGCCAATGTGTCCACCCATACACGCCATCCACCGTACTCGTGCTTGATCGCGTGATGCAGAAGCATACGGAACAACGAGTACACCATATCTGAGATCTTTTGCTCCTCTGTATTTTTCGGGTGGATGTAAGCCATGGCTATCAGCCATTCTTGCCACACGGACATTTGTAGAACCGTCCGTCGATTCTCGCGATTATTGTTGCAGAGTAACGTCATGTCCGAGAGGAACAGCTTCTTCACCTCCAACAGTTGTTCCGTTTGCTTTGATTGTCGAATCAGTGTCGCCACTACTTTAAGTATCACTGAAATCATGCAGAGGATAAGTAGTACTTGTATCCGACTATTCAAAGTGAAGTTTACTTTGGTCTTACTTGGATTCTCTAATCGAGAGTGGGATTCTGGCTCGGGGTGTCTGGCATACAGGATCTGCTGGCTAATGTGTTCCGTCATAATCTGAGGAAATATTATTATAATATAATGTTATGCAAATAAGTTTGAGTAACAATTATTTTCATAAAATAAAAATGGTACCTCGTATAAAACATTGTACGTTGGTAGTGATAGTGTCTCCTCGTTCAACAGCAATCGTTCGGCCAGCAACGTGTACAGGTTGTGGGGGCTCATAACGTCATACTTACGCCTGGAATGAATAAAGAATATAATATGTTTGGTCTACAGAAGATGAATCGCTCTTTTGTAGGATACTTTCTCATACTTGTGTGTACTCCGGCTGAGGAAAAAACCTAACAACTTGAGAGCCTGTAAACGTATCAACTGACTCTCTGCCGCGAGTAACTTGAAAATCGTTCTGACGCCTTGTTTTGCGTCGAACGCAGGTACCATCGACGATGGGTGCTCTGACATTAAAGATATGAGCATTTGCAAAACATCGTGCAAGTTTTCGTCCTATAAAGAAACTTCAGGTAGTTAGTATCGTCGGCCGTTTGCTATAAGGTCAGATCAAATTCGGTGCCTAAAATCAATTCTTCCATGTTGAATTATTACCTCGTGTATTGTCGTCAGATAGTTCAGAATACTTTGCAACTCGTCGTCCTTCACTCCGTTTCCGATCATGATCAGTTGTTTAAGAAATAACAAAATATAAGAGCGTATTGTCAAAATATCCTTCTGTTGGGGTCGTGGTCCATCTGCGATTTATCGAACCGTATAATACAATAATTGATAAATGAACAAATATGGCGGTATTAAAATATTTGATTGTATATAAGAGTACGCACCAAGTCCTTTCGGGGTGATACCACTTTTTGCTCGCGGATTAGCAACCCAGTAATAATATTTAAGCGTGTGCACCGTTTGTAATACTGTGGAGACTCTCCTTACGTTCGAATATATCTGCGTGTCGCTCAGAAACTCTGTGGCCAAGTACGAATAAAGCCGTGTTTGCACCGGCGCCGGCGTATATATCCAAAGAGCGGGATTAAAAAGGACGTGATCCAATAGCTGCCATGTTAGGAATGAAAAGTAAAACAACTACATCACCATAGATCTGCCTGTTCTTCGGACACACCAATCTAGCCGACTTTTATCAGTTCTTATGACTCTCATTCGTAATTCCTGTTCAGTTACGAGTACTTTCGTTACGTTCCCATTTGGAAAACGTTCAACGTAAAGTCGCCGATTGAAAGCGTATCGAGAGGCCAGTTGCAATTTTGTGCTCGCGTGAGTGGAATCTTATTAGGAATTTCCAGTGGGAGAACATTTACAATTGTGCAAGGGTATTGTATATGAGGAAGCACACGAGGAAAGGAACCAAAGAATCGGAAGTGCCAAGAAATTCATTGAAACAATTTCTTACAGTTATAACAAAATAAAAATATCGAGGAGATATAAGACTGATACACTTCATGCACCGAAATCAATACTGAGAATTTGGTAACTGTAAAGGCAATATTGAGACAAATTTTTAAAGTTCACACAGGAATCAATGGACGATTTTCCAAAATTTGTCAATACGTACAATTGAATATTTTTCTTTATATAGACATTTGACACACAATAACCTTTCTTTATTTCATGATTCAGCTGCTTGTCGCGAAATCAAGGATGTCCCAATATTTCGAATGTGTGCACAGAAACAAAATAATCATAAGTAGCTTCCTCGAAGGCAGTATGCATCCCTGATAGAACACGAAGCGTGATATCAAAGATTCCAAACAGTCGAAAATAAAAAAAAAATAGTATTTCCACGGAACGCAAGATTTACAGCGCTTGTCTTGTCTTTCGATAGAAAACTCAGAAAGATCTGTCGCAGCGAATAGAGAATTTCTCAGCGTTGCAAAATAATAGTCAGAAGTTTCCCACGTGGAAGCAGTATAGTATAAAATGAAAATATATATATATATATACATATATTTTGCGTAGCCATATTATGAAATGAGGAAGCCTTAAAAGTCGGTAGATTGCATGCGATCCAAAGATTCGTTTAACATAATACAGTTTCATGAAAAAGTATAACCATGCTTAACGGATCAAACGGTGGAAACAAAAGGTATACACACATACACTAGAAACAGCGTATAACATTCCGAGCATCTATGAGCAGTTCGTCGCGAAAGTTATTGCAACGGATATTATAGAGAATACATAGATACAGAGGAAACCGTACGGACATACATCTGCGTTTCATGGATCTCATGCTCATGCTATTGTACAGCGTGATCCAGAATGGGAATGGAAGCAATTCAGGGGTCACAGAGGGATCGTTATAGATGCATTACAACATACTGGGGTATTGATTTCTCGGGGCATTTTGCTAGGAGATTCAGTTTAGTTCTTGCTAGATATCTTCATGTGTACACACTACTTCTGACGATACAAATCCTAATAACCAAATTCGATGTTCTAATCACGACGATTCGCTGTGTCTTGTTTAGGTTATTGTGATACTTATGTAATTTCCTTAAGTTAGAATCTATTCAGCATGTTTAGGACATACCGGTTAAGATAATACATCAGATGAACATACTCGATCGATTTCCCTTAAGTTACTTCGACATTAGAAAGAAAAGTCTATTGTAATTAGCTCAATAACGGTTGACTTTGTTTTCAATGAACGATTAAATTTCATAATGTTCTACTAAGTTCGTGCAAGCTACACTTCTCAACTTAATCGATCTCTGTAAATCTACTATCTATTCCACTGAATATCACTTCTACTTCCAACGAGTTTACATTCTATCCACTGACAAGGTAACTTTATTCCAGTCAACTTAATTCTAATTCGTATTAAAACCGAACTAATGACTTAATCGATACCTGTTTCAATAACAAGTCGCTGTTCGCGCTGAGGCAGGTCACCAAGTGCTTCGTAAGTTCCAAGAAAGACGCGAGAACCTCCGTGGTCAGATGGTCTCTGCTTGCTCTCTGCAGCATGTAACTAATTACCAAAAATCCTCTGTTTTGTACCATGTGTTGCTGTACGGTCTGCGAACTCTCTACTAGGTCGCAAATAAACCCCAACAGTTTCGAACTGAAATATCAAATTCATTATGTTCATTATTAATTAATGATCGAAACGGAATCTACTGGTCGTTTAGATATTAGTACGGTGTCGCTTTGTTTTCGAAAGAATGATACGAATAGTTAATTAGTAAGTGCCTGTCAGTCACGTTTGGTAACTCCTAGATTTTGTCCCGACAATATCATATTTGGTTCATTAAACGTTAATAGGTTTTCCATTTAGAACTGTATTTACCATAATGTGGGATCTCGTTTAACATCGTTCGGTGCTATGCAATCATAAGGCATATCTAGTTGCGAGAACAAAGGGAACAATACTTGAATGCCGCCAATCGAGTTCAATGTGCTATGAATGGAATGCGTGATGACAGCTTTCACATCCTGGAAGCAGATAATCGAATATTTGATTAGTTCTTTGTGAAATGTTTGTTTTTCGACAATGTCCCAGATTCGGTAGTCGTACCTGCAGCATGAGGGCGTGTGGTGTATGTACAAAATATGAGACGTTGCCTTTCGGTGCACTTTGTAGACACAGTTGAGAATCCGTTGCTACTGGGTTGTACATGAACACAATTGCATTCGACAGCTTACCATCGTAAAGCACCTATAAAATAATATTGTTAGTATTTTCCTTGCGATTTATTTTACAATCATTCCACCACCTTATGTCATAATTAATCTTTGATGGTTTACTGGACGTATAAACTGGCCCTCGTATTATTATTTCTGTTCTGGTTTGTGACTTTTCTTTCTTCTTTGAAAGTAAATTTAACGTGTACTCCCAAAGTTTATTTATGACAACGGAGAGCGATGGTTACATGTTAAGTAGACAAACGTGCCACACATCACAAATTATTTCAACGTGATATTAGTCTATAATAAATTCTCGAGGCGAGTCTGTTTACCCATTAATCGTGGTGTCCACTGCTATTAATAATATCCAGGAGTAACAATCTTATACTCTCTCTATAAACACGAAATACGTCTAACGAAACTTAGCTACTCATATAACAATAAAACCAAGAGGGACTTTTCTACTGACAAGGCTGAAAAGAAACACAAACGCTACCATCTAATTACGACAAAGAAGCATCAGACGAGCATAAATGAATTCGTGGCTGAAAGGAAAGATTGTACGGACGTGTACGAAACAGAGAAAAAATCACAACAAGCAGTCACGCAGTCGATGAATACAAACTTATATGCCGGCAGTAACGTCCAAAGAAACTCATTGTTCTGGGAAAAGATATTCGTAGTGATGGTCGATTATCGGGTAATTACCTCTGACGGGCTCGAACGCAGTAACAGAGTGATTAAACAATGTGCAAATCAAATGTGAACGGGAGAAAAGAAAATAAAAATGCTTACAGTCTGCATACTTTGGTCCACCATGCTCGTGAGCTCCGGCTCATCACTCACCCTTTTGTGATTGTCAGGCAGATTCAGGTAACACTCGTTGTCAAAACGAAACTGACTCTGTGGACAAAGACAAACGGGCCATGTTGAATGTGTAATAGCTCTAATAATAATAAATTCTAAGAATAATTATGTAGACCAGTAAATATGTTGAAAATGATGCATTTTAATATAAAAAAAACAACGAATTACCAAATTTATTTAAATTACAAAAGATATATTCCAGTACTATTCTAGTTGGAACAAAAGTTATCCAGTTTATACGTGTCTAAGCTGTTGAGAAAGCTGTCGGTCTTAATCATCAATGGGTTAATCTACCAAAATTTTCATTTAATACACTTTAAAAACCAGTTCATCCGTGTACCTTATATCCAGGCCCCAGTCTATGCATAGCACATATTTGATGCGTAGTCAGAGCTTCGCTGAACAAATATATCGCGCTCATTTGTCCACAAAACACACGCTCTTCGTCCAGTTCTGGAGTAGCTCCGATGTAACATTTGTCAAAGGGCTAGAAGAAATTAAATGATAATGTAATTGTTACGAAACATATGGCTCGCTCGTTCCATTTTAATAATATGCCACATATACGCGAATGGAATAGCTGGACATATCGGGTCGGTAAATTAACTTACATCGTTTGTCGAAACGAACCACGCCATTTCTGTGCTCGAAGCCAATTGACCGTTGACCAAACATTTAATCTCGCTCTTCGTCCACCTATTATATATGTACACTACGGCGATCATATACCACTGTAAAAAAAATAATTATACTCGAAAAATAATTCGGGGAAGCTTCTCGTTGCATCGAGAATCGCGTACCTTCCGTGGTTGAAATTCATATTTGACACAATGCTGGAAGCCCTTGCCCTTTACTTTCATCGAGGTGAGGACCAGGCAGTTCCCTACGAAATGCGCAGAGTATCCCACTCCCTTGCTAGTTTTAAAACTGGAAAAACAAACAATTCAGACGTTTCAATTTAGATATTTCTCGTTGAATGCCCATATACACGTGTAAAAATCGATTCTCCTACTTCGTAGCCATGAAATGACTTTCGACAGTAAAACGTTACCTATTTCCATAAAGAGAAAATATTCGACGCTGTCTCCATTCATTTGTTTTTTGTTTCGTTCATCGAACGAGGGGATGACAATGTATTTTGTAAATGGGAATAACGGTTTTCAACTGTATGGAAATCGAATTGTTTCCGCGTGAAAGAACATGATTAAATTGGTGTAGGATGGCGACGCTTCAATGGGAGCTTTTTCGCGTGAACTCGGAACAAAGCTGCGTTTAATCAAATTCGAAACGTTCGATCGAGGGGATACGGTGGAATGGGATCATCCCTTTCCCCATCCTTTAGTTTCTTCCCCCTCTCTGTCTCTGTCGGAGGTCAGTAACATAAACGATTCTTTAAGGTAGCCGACCACTTCGGTCGAGGAGAGTGTTCCCGCGAGGGTGCTTGACGTAAAGAGCACTTACCAGTAGAGGTATGGCTTTTCGCGTTCGATATTAACGGAGTTGATGGGGTCCAAACGGAACCACGTGGTAAACGTGAATCCATTCTCGTGCGGCCATCTGGCGAGCGGTGACAGAACGATTGCCTGGAAAAGTTGACGTGAAAATAATAATCAAACATACAATATTACAAAGTTCATATTATAATCTGTATTATAATCGTGATAGGAGAGAATCACAGGTTTCGAACAGGATTTTCAGTGGAAAAACAAAAGTTACAGAGTTTCTGTATGCGATACCGAATTCTCTTTATTTTTCTCAACGAGTCTTAACCGATCTTCGAACTAATACTTTTTCAGATAACCTCGTACTATTCGCCAGGAATAAAACCCGTCGGAGAATCAATACGTCATTCGATTCGACGGATTAAGTCGACGCGGCCGAGGGAAGGATCCAGAAAAGAAGGGGGCAAAAAAGGGCGAGCAGGGGTGTAAAAAGTGAAACTGACTTACCGATCCTTTCCTGCCTGGGAAACTGAAAAATACATCGGGCCCGTTTCGTTGCGGCATTTGACGGAGAACGTTCAACAGCTTCGCCGAATGCCGTGGCTGCGGTATAAACAAAAGAAAATCCCAACGTGTAAGTAGAAAAAATACGAGCGTTAAATATGAGATGTTTTAACGGTCGTCCGAAAGTTTCGTCCAAATGTTCTCTTCGTTTCGTTCGTTTTGTGTCGTTACTCACCCATTTACCCTTCACAGCTTTCATAGCGCCAAATAAAAGTTTTAATTCCTTCACCGTTATGCTGTAACTGGCCAACACTCCGAGCATATCGATGAGTAAATCTGTGTATCGAAACAGGAACAAATTATTTGTCGTATCTCAGCCACCGTGGATCGTTATTTACGTTGACTTACCTGCGACAACGGTTTCTGCGCGCGACAACCGATGCAACACGTGCTCTATGAGGCTTACGTCTGTACACGCCTGTAAATTCCGCACGCTTTTCCTCAGGATAGCGATAAAGACGCTCCATATTTCGGCCTGAAACAGAAATACATATCGGATATGAGATCGCCTGTATTGTCGAAAAATGCGGATATTAAATTGACATAGTCGAGGGAGGGGAGAATTCGCTCGAGAGCGAAACATTTAATTCTATCTCGGCGTTGCCTCCGTGGTTCGGTGGTGTCTTGGATTTTATTAAATTCCTCGGTACAGTCTCCTTGAGGCTTTTGGATTTCTTTTGTTGAAAGACGAAAAATATACAAAGCGTGACTTCAACGATATAGGTACATACGACTTATCCTGTGAAAATAAATCGACAGTAAAATGGAAAATTGAAATTCGTTTTTTTTATTAACATTTTTTTAATATACGCTGGTATTAAAAATGTTTTGCAAACGTTATTTTCCTATTGCAACTGTATATTTGGGTTCTTTTCTGAAGAAACTCTATGTGTCAAGGTTTAATCACTTTTCTAATTAGTCGATACATTAGCCACGGACGCGAACTCAAGACGGACTTGCAGCGCATGGTGCAGTTAATATCGAAACTATTATACCGGCGGCGATAGTTAAAGTTATTCAAGCTTCGCCCAGAGAGATCGGAGATCGAAAGTGAACTAACCGACGAACTCGTGTAATCCGTTACTAATATGCGGCTGAAGTCAGGAAGTCAGATAACCGCGAAGCGGACGGGTCAGAGGGAGAGAGAGAGATAGTTAAGGAGAATTATCCACGGAGTATCGTTGAAATCCCGAAAATGCTGTCGAAATTCTCTAGCGGTTGGTATTCGCGCTACACAAGCCAAAGTTTTAGTTAGAGTTACGGGTATCCCGGGTAATGTAATATTGAGGTTTTTCGTAGCTGCACGAACGTCTTCTGTCCCACGCTTGAACGATGTCGTGATTAAACGTAATCCTGGAAACGGAATATTCCGTCGGGTATTTCGTTCTTAAGCCTTTCCAGTGACGAGGGGAATGAGTCTCATTGAAATAGAAGCGAGGATAAATGGGCGTCGAATTTCGAGTTGCGAATATCCGTGTTCGATGAGATCTGGGTGATGTTTCGTGGAACCACAAGCACAACGCTTTAAATTTGATTTAATATAGCGAAAATTGAGAAGAAATAGCGTTTTTATTACAATGTTCTACGATGTAGGTCACGTCTGACTATGGACGATGTTCTATCACTAATCGAGAGCTGATTACTGATTTATCAGGGAATATTCAGACGTATGGAAACTTGAATCTTGTCTTTGATAGTGCCTCTTATGTAGCAGAAATAATGTTGCTAGCTAGTTTTTTTTACGACATAGTAATACTAAAGAATAGAAATGACTTTGAATGTGTAGTTACGATGACTAGAAATTTATACAAGTATCGTATATGGGCCCCATGAACGTATTAACTGAAAATAAATAAAATAACCTGTGCGAGATGCGAAGACAGGTGCCGAATGACGTCAGTCAAACACAGAAGAGTTATCGGAAGAATAGCACTCATCGGTGTCGCAATGAGCTTTAAAAGCCGTACACCGCTGGCAGCTTTTAGCGTGACACCGTTGTTGAAAAGTAGGTGCCAGCCCCGCAAGTGCGTTTTAACGCGCGTGATGAAATGGACGGTGTCAGGGCACGAAATTCTCACGGGGAAACGAAGTTGTACTAAATCGATCTACATAGTACACTTTAGCATTAGACGTTCTATGGAAATCAATAAGAATTTGTGGTATATCATTAATCTTTCGTTTTAAGAAACAGTACTTGCAAAAAAATTGATTCACCGTAGACACAGAAACGAGCCAGAGGAAATCGAGAAGCCTTTCGAGGACTCTGGAGAACATACTCAAAGAATCCTTGAAGGACTCTCTAATTTATCATTTTGTCGAAGTTCTATACAGTATCACGTCTATTACTTTCTTAATGTCGTTTAATACGTTGAAATGCATTTGCAGTCTTCCTTTCGTCTTCCCTTTCTGCTCAAAACCATCGAAGACGTAAGGTTCCTTTTTCTACCCAACGAGCGTAGTATAACAAATTCGTTGTCAGTAACGAGACCAAGAGGAATAAATAGATTATAACGAGCGGAGGAACAAACGAATATTAGAGAGCAATCTTGAAACAAAATAGTACAAGTACGGAGTTCAGAAACAAAGTCAAATGCGACTAACGTCCAGATGATCTTTATTGTCTTCGAGTATGAAGTCTAGTCTTCGGGTGAATCTCACAAGAAAATAAGAAATCCAAATAATAGGATGAAAATAATTCCAACAGACCTTTTCGATTTTCGTATTTTAATCTCAAAAATAGAATCTCGGTGAATGCAAACAAGTGTTGCAGAATATTTCGCGTCATTTAAAACGATTCGAAAATTCAGAGGAAATCGGATCGTTGAGAACAGGTTCGCGCGAGTGCTTGCAACCCCCTGGCAAATGGATTCTCCGTGAAAGACCGTCAGGATCTTTAACATCAGCTAGAATTTCACCGGTTCCTCTGAGCTGTCTGCATTGAGGTTTTAAAATCCGTCTCACGGACTCGCGACGGGTTAATGTGGATGTTATCAATTATTCTTCGAGGAACGCGCGCGCCTCTGTCGCTTGCATATTTAAGCGCACCTCCGCGGTGAAGTTCTTGATTAAGCATCTCGAGGCACGGATTTAATAACTCTTCGGCCCCATCGTTGCATCCAATAATGAAAGCCGCGGAAGTATCGACTGCGAAAGGAAGAGGAGCACGGAATCGAAGCATCTCTGCAGCTCTGACGTGATTATAGATCTTGACTTCTTTTTTTTGTTTCGTCTCAGTTTCTGTTAATTATATCGTTAAAGAATCAGCGATCCCGCCAGGCTATATGCGCGCCTTAATCAGATTTTTCCTTTCGCGTTTCTGTTCGCAATTTTTCCGATGACACCGTCGGCGATAAATTGAATCGGCGACGACGGGCGTCGTTGACGTCTTATTTAAATCCCGTTCCTGGGCGATTCTTTTTCCATCGCTTATAATCGTAATCTGCAATATTTCTTTTTATAGACGACCGTGAATACAAGAGGAAAAGTCTCGAGGGAGAAGCCAATCCAATTGTGATTGTCAGTTTCAAGGGTTCCAGATGCTTGGGCTTTCTTTCGTCGTTTTGCATATCGCAAAGAAGTTAGGGTTATCGAGAATAATATTGTATAAGTTGTGAATGTGATTATAGTATAACCATAAATTGAGCAGTTTTTTAATAAGAGTAGTTATTTAAGAAAAAGTAGTTGGTCACTTTGGCCTCCGAACGGTTGATACATTGACCAATGTGTCTGATCATAACTGACTACTAATACTTGTAATGTGACAATCTCTTACGTATGGAAAAACTTTTCTCAGACAAAAGTTTCCTCTACTCCATTACACACGAAAATGTCAACTTTTAATTGATTTCGTCGTTAAGTTGCAGTAACGTATTCATTCCCTTCATTACACTCGTGTTTCTCGTAGACGGTCGATTGTTTCGAATATCGTGTCGCGAACAGGACACGGAAATTCAAATATGATTGGAATGTTACTAACAGGGGCCACGATCATTTACAGTTCACGTGATAAACGATTAACTTCGGATGGAACATTCAAACTCGATACCAACGAACCGTGAACACCGTGGAGCGAACGGCGGCAGCCTTTACGACATCCTTCCTTTGGCGTCTGATGTACCTCTGAACAACCGGGTGTATACATATAGCATACTTCAGATTAGAGTCATGAGGGCTCCCGGCGTCAAAGGGAATACGAGGTATACGCGCGCATAAGCGCATGTACAAGAAGAACCCAAGTTCCGTTTGACAGGGTCACGGGGAATGTTTCGCCGCGCATGGATGCGCAGAATATCGCTTCTGCAAATTCCCCTAACCGCAAAGCTTTCTTACCGCCGCTATTAAACTAATTCCCGCGGAAGTTCCAGATTTACATGGGTTTTCAAGCACGAATCTGTTTTACGTTTATGCTCGGAACCGCGTTCACCTTGGTTAAGCAAATATTTAATGAAATATTCCTTCGCACAGGATCATGGTATAGGTGTGTTGGTGCAAAAACATTAATCAAAATGGAAGAATAAAGCAAGCTATAATAAATTTCAATATATTTAGAATTCTTCTTATCATCCAATGCAATTGAGAAAATTCGGTACACGCTCCGGGTATACTCGTGGAATGAAATTTTTTAAATTAAACTCCAAAGCTTACCCCGCTTGTACATTATCCGTATCTCTAGTTACCTCAAATGAAGATCCACAGCAGTACGTTTTTATGGAGAGCGAGTATATACCGCAGATACGTTCCAGCGAAATATTTCATATTCTGAACAACAGGCTGCTGCAAGTAGGCACACAGCGATTTCAATTCTTCTTCTTTTTTTTCCGTCTAAATACCACGCGGTCGCGGTAAATAGACGATTACGCGAGATTACGGTGTTTCATGGAAATATGAGTCTTCGAGTTCTCATGAAGAGGACCGGAACGGGGGAGGAAATAAGGCTGTAAAAAGCGATGAGTTTTTTGGCGAGGCAGAAAGTAGGGGTGGCAAACCGTGAGGTAAATAAAGAGACGGGGGCGTGCACCAGCTCATTTGCAGAAACGAACAAACAATCCCCGGACTTTATCTCGGAACCATTCTCGACAGCGTGCGCGCTACGTCAACGTCCCTTTTAATCAACTTTTTCACTTTAATTGACTTTGCCGGTGATAGTGACCATCCCACTCGCAATCTTCGCCTTCGGTGCATACCGTAACACGAAGGATTTAATATTCGTACCGCGATTTCGCGATGAAAGTTTCGAATTACACCTGACAGCGTACTCTGTGTGAATGGTAATTTACGTCATAGAGATGATTTTAATTGTCCGTCGTAGTTGTATATATAACCAGCAACTGTGTAATAATTGAAAGACAATTATTTGTCTCGGCAATAGCTGTTTGGAAGAACGATTTCAGCAAGGAATTTCTACCGATGATGTTTCTGCAACTGGAACGGTGCTGTTTGTTCTTCGAGAACAAATAAACGTTTACTTGAAGCGAT